AACCAAATTCCTCCTCTTTTTAACTTCAAAAACCTTGTTGTATTTCACAAAAGAGATGAGTCTAAAAATGTACTCACAATGTAATATTTCTCTTCCTTTTCCACACCCATTTATAGATTTATGAGTTAGAATTTTTTTGTACTAGTGAAAAGTTTATATAAGTTAGGGCAGGTACATACTTTTTGCTCACTTGTCATTAATAGTTTTAGAAGGAAGAACAGCTTGAGCAGGTTGAGAATACATGGGCACATATACATTTATATATATATATGTAGAGATATATATATATATATATATATATATATAATCTCTTCCTTTTCCATACCCATTTATAGATTTATGAGTTAAATTTTTTTATACTAGTGAAAAGTTTATACAAGTTAAGGCAGATACATTCTTTTGCTCACTTGCCATTGATACTTTTAGAAGGAAGAACAGCTTGAGCAGGTTGAGAATACATGGGCATATATACACATATATATATATATAGAGGGAGAGAGAGATATATAATCTCTTCCTTTTCCAAACCCATTTATAGATTTATGAGTTAAATTTTTTTATATTAGTGAAAAGTTTATAGAAGTTAAGGCAGATACATACTTTTGCTCACTTGCCATTGATAGTTTTAGAAGGAAGAACAGCTTGAGCAGGTTGAGAATACATAGGCACATATACATATATATATATATTTAGAGAGAGAGAGAGAGATATATATATATATATAATGTATGCTATAAGTAATTGAAGGGTGAATGTGGATTCCCATAAATGAAAAGCAGATTTGGCAATGTATTTATATGGTGAATTAAGAAATGTCAAAAGAAGAAAACTTTAGATAGAGAATTAGGCCAAAAAAAATTTAATTCAAACCCCATTTCTGTCTGCAAAAGCAAATTAAGTAAAAGAAACCCTAAAAATTGCAACAAGATTATTCAATGAATATTATTAATGGGTCCTGCAAAACTTTCCCATTTGGAGCTAGAGCACATTCAATCCTGCATTCAATTTTCATTACCAGAAATTTTAACTCTTTGCAACTCCACACATCTTACCCATCTTCAAAACTTTGATACCGAAATCAATTGTATTAACAATGCCAGAACATGCATACACATTCATTTCATATAGAACGCAGACATACATATAAATGCGATAGTTATTCTAGATCAACGTTGAATATACGTGTTAACGCTGAGTATAAAATATCGCAATAAATAAATATCATAAATAAATTGTCTCCTCTTTTTTATTATTTAAAAATAAAAACCGATTTAAGAGTTGCTTTCATCAATGCGTATTAGAATACACATGAAACTTATATTTAAGAGAATTGCAAATCTCATTTTAAGCCTCATCCAACTCTGATTGTGATCAAGCAAAGAAAGAGATTTACACACACACATATACATATATGTATGTATATAATGACAAGTGCAGTTGTGCATTAATTTTGATGACATAAACTGTGATTGATTTGGTTTTTTTTTTTTTTGTTTCAAGAAGCCATTAATTGGTGATGTTGGTGGTAATGTTTGTATTGATTTCAAGAATTGAAGTAATGTTAGATGACTAAAGAGAGAGTTCCAAGACTATTTAATATGCTTATTTTGTTAAGATGGAGAACCATGACAAAGACTCATATAAAGAAGACACCAAAAGAACCAAAAAAATAAGCCTTTTGAACAGAAAATGCTAAGTGTTGGGCTTGAGAATTCTAAGCCAATGGGCCTTTTTTATCACTGGGAAGAAACCTAAATTCTTGAATTTGTTGCTTTTGATCAATGCATACTTAGGTCATTGTGAAGGTGGGAATTCCATTTATTCTCTCCATATAAAGGTCATTGGTATTTCTGTATTTCTCTATGAATGTGTATGCATTTAAGTCTGAGTTGTGCATATCGTGCATATTATCATTAGAATGTTACTTATATTGTTATTGGCGTACATCTCTATTGTAAAATATTCGACTTATGTTTCTATTGTTGTCGTTTTTAAAACAAACTGATTCTCTCTAAACACTAGTTAAAAAAGAACAAACTACACTCGTTCGTAGGTGAAAATGTAAGCAAAGTCCTCTAAGATCCCTTCATTATGAAGAAATTGAATCACTTGAAACAATTCGAGCAGTTTTTCAAATGTGAGATGAATGTTTCTTATATGTTTTAAAAAGAAAAAAGTGAGTGATACCAACCGAAAGGACATTTTGATTATAGGCATCAATTAAACGAAGACTTCTAACCAAGAATAATTTCGTATCTCATACAACCGAACAAGAATATTATGGAACCCTACTGTATCTCATCAAAGGCCAAAAACCAGACACAGGTATCTTTTGTCTTCCAACATATATATGTTCTGTTTTTGGTAGTTGGCTGAAAAGGACTTTGAAAAAATTCTTTCATCTTTACTAACCCTTTTTGTCAAACAAAAAATCCAACCTCTGCTTGTAGCCCTTTTTTAAAGAACAAGTAAGTTGATTAAGACAAAAATTTTACCTAAATTGTATATGGTTATGTTATGTCAAAATGAATTTTATCCTTGTGAGATTGCTGTGTGTTAGATCTGAACTAATGATATATTATAGATGTATAAGGATCTATACAAGAAAAGGAGTGGAGAAAAATGAAGTGGCTCTTTACAAAAGGACAAGCATCATGGGTTTATCAAAAAGTACTGTCAACCCCTCACATGCAATTCTCATCATCCAAACAGCTTTTTCAGCTAAACCATACATTCAAAAGCATCACCCACACCCCACTTAGTAAGAGAGAGAGGGAGGGGAAATTCAAGATCAGTTTGGATTATCTTAATCCGAGGCCTTTTGCTTGAGATAAAAGATGAGACATTTCATTAACAAACCACTCCAAGAAAGGAGCAAACAAACAAATAGAATACAAAGTGAGAGAGAGAGAGAGAGAGAGAGATAGTAACAAAGGCCTGTTTCTTCTAGCTTTGGAGAAACTTCAGCCACATTCCCCATCTATCTTACATGGAGAAACTCCTCTCAGAAGTTGAGAAAACAAAAAGAAAAAACAAGGGTCAAAACTTCCCACTACAGAGAGATGTCACATTTTTACCTAAAGAGAATTGCCTACAGAGAAAAGGGGAGGTATACAGAAGATAAAAAGAAGAAGAAAAAGGCATTACACTAGGTTGAATGATACATAGGAGAGACTATATTAGAGTTTTTTTTTTTTTTTTTGGGTTCTTTTATCGGCAATTAGGGTTTCTACCGGGGCCCCCATAGTAAAAGTAATGGCCCCAATCCCCATTACTGCCCGTTTGAACATCGTAGCAATTTGATTGCTCAGTGAAAGTGCCAATTCCTTTGGGTGCCTTGAGATTGTT